ACCAAATTTTCATCACCAGAAGTCGATTTGGATTTTTATAATATATAGAGATATAGATTTTGATAAGCTCTATTCACAGAAACCAATAAAAATTTCATTTTCCATACAGATTCGAGAAAAATGATAGTTTTCCAAAAATCGTTTTTTCAACGATCGCTCAAAAAATTGTCATTAAAATGGAATTATTTCAGAGCTAAAAAAATTGATAACAATACCCTCTTAATTCTATCAGAATATGATGGGGTTCGCACAATCGGTTGTTGAGTTGAAGCACATTGTTCATGCGATTTGAAAGAGAAAATCGATTTTTTCATCATTCAAATCGTGGATTGTAAAATATATTTCAATGCCTTCTTAATCAAGTTGAAAAATTTCGAGAACAGCATCGTTGTTTATGAAGCTACACAATGGTCCGGACTAACTTCTGGCAGAACGTGGGTTAAACTCTGGCGAAATGCTGAATAAACACCGATTAAATTTTGGCTAAACGCTGATTAAATCTTGATTGAACCCTGGTTAAACCCAGACTGAAAACGAATTCGATAATTATTTGATAGAACGAAATAATACGCAAAATTTCGATGATATTTTAGTTGATGACAGTATTATAACATGGAAAAATACACAATAAGAGTGGTGAAATAAAAATTCCAAAACAGATAACTCATTCAGAAACAAACTTCTAATTTGTTAGCAATAATTACTATAGTCATTTATAAAAAAAATTCCATTGTTCACTTGTTTTTATCTATTCAGAGTTTATTTGGAAAAGAGTTACTTTTGCGGATAAAATATTAAAGAGCAGCAAAATGCATTAAAGGTCTTTCGATTATCTTGTGACGACACGGGTCGTCAACCCGTAATTTATTTTTTGTTTGTAAAATTTGTTTATTTTCATTTTTTAATGAAGAATGAGACCTTCCACGCCAAGATTGTTAAAAATTAGCCTCTAGGAGACTTCTCTCATCCATGAGAATCGGGAAAGGAAATACTCCAAATCTTTTCCAATTCGAATACCATTTGCGATCTCCGACGGTCATAACTCCGCAACAACGGGTTGAGTCGAGAAATGGAGGTCCTGAGAAAAATCTCTTGGGACCAAACAACATCCAGACCATCCCGTTCAAGCCATTGGAAAGGAGGATTAGACGATGGCGTCCCTCTACAAAGCCCGCGCTTTTGAAATGGGTGCAGAAGATGTCTTCAACCGAGGATCCATTGCCATCAACCACCGAGCAATTATGGTCCAGGGTACCCTGACGCGAGGAACAACCGGAGGGGGAAGCTCCCCGTCGTCTGCCGAGCAAAACCTACAGGAACTCAGCGAGGGATACTCGAATGTGAATAATATTCCAACGTTGGGGATAATTCACGACATTTAATCTAAAATAATTTTAAAATATCGAAAATATTGATTTATATCCATTTAGGAGTTTTTGAGAAATAATTTTCATGTAAATTAGTGCGTAGAATATTCTAGCGTTTAATACTTCTGTTAGAACTTCGATATCCAATCAAATTCCGTGTCTTATGAATTTGGGGGGAGGTTCCTCCCCCAAAACAAGATGAAGCAGGCATATCGGTTGAACCGGCCCAAGCTTGAGGAGAGTCGTCTCCTAGCCAGCGCGAGATGTAGTCGCAAAATAGTACTGTCCACCAGATTGGCATTTATTTTGTTTATTTTGAGTTAAATTTATTATTTTTTATTATAAAGGTTGCTGTCTATCCTGGAGCAGGTGATTTCTCATAAATCGACAGGTGGGCAGAGCCGAATTGTTATTAACTTTGAGTAAAATTGTAAAATTGTAGCCTTTGTCTTGGCTATTCTTGAGAAAGCGTCCAAGATGGCGTCTTTTCTAATTTTTCATTATATTTTCTTGAGTTGAGGCAGTTGTGATCAACTTCTCTTGTATTTTTTCGATTTTTGATGATTACTTTTGGTAAATTTGAGGATAATATTGAAGTTCATTAGTTCTGATTATTTTTTGTGTGAAATTAAAATGTGATAAATTGAATTGTATTTCGAGGTGACGTATCGACCCTCAACTGAATATCGATTCATATTATGGATATTTTGTCATAATTTTGAGAATAATGAGGAATTATAACCCTTATTCACCTTTCTTGTAAATTGCATAATTTTTCTTTGTGTGAAATTATATTTGATTATTCTTGTTAAATTGTGTGTTCTCATTGTGTGAATGGGGAAGGTAAAATTGCAGGCTGGCAGTATCGTCCTCCCTCCCCCTTATAACAAGTAGAGTCTACTTTGATACCTGAGCTACCAGCCATTGTAATTCTGTTAAAATTGTTGAAAATTCTAAATCGAGAGGAGTTGATGCACTCTTGAAAAATAATCCATCGACTGGCGTCCAACACACTAAAATTTCAATTAAAAATAATTCTATTCTGTATCCTACATTTTTCCCCGAACGTCACAATCTTATCAGACATCACGCTTCGTTAAGGTAGTTCAATAATTAACAATCACGATGACTCACGTCAATTCAGTTGTTTGATCATTACTTTATCACCGATCGCCACACAAAAACCGATGAGGAACGATAGACCCCTGGTAAACATATTTCTCCCCATTTATTCATATTATCTTGTCTTGCTTAGGGGATGAAGTAACCTTGTTTCAGACTTCTACCCCTCAATATTACAGAACAAAAATAATTCTAGTGATAAAATATCTGGATAAATAATATTATTAAATTGGAAAACTGAAAACAAATTATTGTTCAAGAGCTTGTTGAAATGTATACCACCCACATATCACGCTAGGTGGAGGACGATGGAGATATTGTGCGGTCATTTTATATTCATTAAATTATGGAGTTGACGAATATACACCAGGAATCATGACGGAGCCCACTGTGATATTTGGGGGGTATGATATTTAGGTCTATGATGAATTATCCGGATAATATTAGGGGGTGAGAGTGAAGGCCAGAAAATCAAATATTTAGAGGTTTAATACGTTATGGGGTGATATACAACCAGAACGAATGTTTTAGCCTCACTCACAGATAAGATAAAACATCTTTTAGGGAAACAACCGTGAAATTATCCCTACATTCCAGTTATTTTGTCCCCTAGGCGGAAAAGCCTCAAATACATCCAGACAAATGACCCATTTGCATTGAATAACCGATTTATTTTATCTGAATGAAAAATTACTAGATATTAATAAATTCGTTCTCTTCACCGTCTATACCATGATTCCATTTTTAATTAGTAAATTCTTTGATTGCATTAAGAAAACTATTCATCTAAAGTGAATAAAAGCGCAAATGTAACCCGATTGTCGGTTTAGATAATAACTTCATTACGAGCTATTTGAATAAATTTTTTTATTTGATTCAAATAAAATTTATTTAATTCGAATCATTTTTCCGTACTGACCTTCACTTTTCCTCGTCCGCCCATGCAGGGCTTGCCGATATATGCAACACGGCCGAACATCGGTCCAATATTCGCTCACCGAGCATCGGGGCCCCGATAAAAGGCCGAACATCGGTCTAATATACGCTCGCCGAGCATCGGGGCCCCGATAAAAGGCCGGCCATCGGTCCAATATCCGCTCGCCGAACATCGGAACCTCAATAAAAGGCCAAACATCGGCCCAATATCTGCTCGCCGAATATCGGGACCCCGATGAAAGGCTGCTCCACGGCCGATATGATCGGAACCGACTTAATATTTATAGGCTATTTTTCGAATAAATGGATGGATAGCATGCATCCATTCTCTTTCCTAATATACAGAATATAGATATTGATACCCCGAATGAAAGCCTAAATATTTTAAGAATAGTCAATTAATTATTATAATTAACTCTTCTCATCGAACTTTCGATTTCATTAACTAATTGTTGATAATCGTATTTAAAAAACACACCATGTGGTATTTATATATCCGAAAAAAATCTATCTTCATAAGAAATTTCAGATGGCTCAATGGACAGCGCGCTTGACTGCAAATCAGAAGGACCTGCGATCGAATCCCACCTGGGGCAATTTTCCATTTCTTTAAATTCAATTTTATTCTTTTTTGGTTTACTGGAACGGATAAGAAGGGTTATAAAACGATTATAAACTATTGGAACTAATATGTATGAACGAATTTAACGTATTGTTTCACCGATGGTTGGCTGATAATCGACGCCAATGTTGGCCGTACATCGGTGTCTATGATGGCCCGAGGTAACGTCCCAAAGTTCGGCCGAAGATCGCAACCGATTATCGGCGAACTCGGCGCCGAGTTTGGCCCGATGTTCGGCCATTTTGTATTGCCCTACATGGGCCGAGATTGGTATTAGCCCTTTCCCAAACTCGTAAAAGTGAAAATCACTGCGGAAAAATATCTTTCACGACTAGTGCCATGGGGTTTTTTTACTCGCGTGATTGGTCAGTCTTTGTCTTTGGCTCGGAATATTCTAATCGGAGATTACTTTGTGCTTATTAATTTTTTCTGTGATGCATTCACGATTTGAAAGTAAAAAGCCGAAAGAGACCTTTGTAGGTCCAAATATCTGTCCTTTTTTTCTACATCATTTATGATAATTTTACCTATCAAAATTTGTGGGAGTTCACTTTCCATAATGGCCAAAATTAATTTGATATTTCTTTTATATATTTACAATAATATTTGAGAGAACATTCGTGTGGGTTGAAATTCTGAGAAGAGCGAGCCATGGTGTGTATGCGGTTGGTTTTTAATACTAAACACCATTGGAGTCATAGAGACTTTCATAGTTCCATATGTTAGCAAACCCTGAAACCTTTAAGATCTTTGTTTCTAGAGTTAGTTCCTTCGAGGAGTTTGAAGTGTGTGCATGTCTCTCCCAAGCTTAAAATTTAAATAAGGAGTAAAAGTATTCACTTATCCGGACATATTTCTTATTTAAATTACCCGCTTGCAATAAAATTACAAAAAATGATTCCTTTTACCACCTCATCGATAAACGATTTATACGGAGTATAGAAATTACTTACAATTAGAACAGTAGAGTTGTGCGTCTTCGCAAACTCGGAATGGGTGATCTCGATATTTTCAACGGCTGTGACAAAATAGCCAGGGGGTGGTGTGCAGAGGGTATAATTGCTCCAAGTGACTCCAAGCGAATTACTGTACCAGTTACCCCCAGGGAGACATTGTTTCGTTGATGTGCCATTGTTGGGATTCTCATACCCGAGAACAGCTTGTGGAGGGCACGACAGTACAGCAGTAGCATTAGCAACCGTACTCGGCCAGCAGAGAAGTCCATCAAAAGACGGCGGGCATTGATCCGTCACATTATTCACGATGTCTAGGAGTAATATAACTAATGTAAACGGGAGCGGTTGTGTCCCCGTGATTATACTGCCATCGATCACGGTGAGGATAAAGAGATGAGCGTCCATTTATCCATCGTGATTGGCAAAAATGATAGGGGATTTTTACACTGCACATTTTTGAGGAAAAATGAAAAAGGAAAAATTGATGGATTCAACAACAAAAGGGGGAATACACGCATCGCTGTGTTTGTGGGATGCTTCCATTCCAAGCTGTTACGAGTTTACCCGCACAATCAATGATATTTTTAGTTTCATTTTTTTTCATTGAACCCCTGGGGCTTTTTATTGTGATATCTCATGTCGTGGAAGTTTCTACTCACATTCATTTGTCAGCAATTCGCAATTTTTTTCTTGCTCGTGCTGAAACCTCTCCACGTCACCATTTGTCATCCTGGAAGTGGAATCAAGGATTTATTTAGGTAAAAATGTAATTTGTTTGTAAAGTGGTAAGAAACAGGAGAATTTCTATCAAACATCGTGCATACAAGTTGGTTACAAAATATCTCTGCTACGGGAGAGTATAGCGACAAATGTCAGGGAACTTTTTCGTTGGTAATTTCCTGAACTGTCTCTCTATAATAAANGGGGGGGGGGGGGGGGATGTCCAGCGATTCCACCAAATCCGTATATAAAATACTTTCGAAGTTCAGATTTTTTTAAAATCTGAAAATCGATGCCATTTAGGAGGCACTCTCAGCTACAACTTTTAAAAATATTCCCCCCAATATCCTCATATATGTATATATATATATATTTTTTTTTTTTCAAAAATTTCTACTTCCCGGTAAGAACCAACCCAAACTTTTTCTTGGCGCTGTTTTTGTACAAAAACAATTGTTTTTGTTTTTTTTAGAGAGATTTCATAATTTTTTTCTAAATAAGCAAGGAATCGTTTTGATATCCTATAAATTTTGTTATTTCCAATTCAATTCGGCTCATTCATTTTTCACACGATAGATCATCTTTCCAATTAACAATCGAAGCAAAACAAATAATTGTACTTCACAGTCATTATTTACTGATTCCAATTCAATTACTGATTCAATTACTGATTCCAGATTTTCCGACTCAATTTGCTTCTTCCAGAATTTATTTAAGCACGGAACTCAATTGAAAAATTTCTGTGGAATTTATCGTTCATGCACCAAATTCAATTTGTAAATTCTCAGGCTCCTTCCTTGGTGTGTGTGGCTGTATTGTAGTGCTACCAAGTCCCTAACAAAAAAATGATAGGAGATAATGTGAAATACGACAATGTGCATGTGATCCCGTTGCTATGCGCGGAATTTTTTAAATATTGATTGGAATAAAAAAATAGTTACATCAATGAGAAGCTAGTGGTCGATTTATATCATGTAACTAAGATTTTTTTTCATGTACCTTGTCACATTTCTATTTTATTCAATGTATATGTGTCGGAGGTAGTGGAGGGGGTAGTTGCCTCGTGGATAGATACACGGCAGCGTACGGACAGTTTTGCATAGAGTGAAAACTTTTTCTTGGCTGATACGCTGCCGCGTACCTCGATATATATGTAATAGAAAAAATGCTCATTACTTTTGGGACTTCTTCTCTTGAGTTGAAGGCAATTAAAGCGATGAATTTGTATTGGGTGTGTGTTCAAATTTTTTTGTTCAAATAAAACACATTTGCTTGTTTGGAAAATTAAAGGAAAGTTTATTGAAAGTATGCTCCATCTGCAGCTACAACCTTCGCCCATCTTTCAAGTAATTTACGTATTCTTTGCCTGAAGAAATCCTGGTCTTTTGAGCTGATCCAATTATCAAGCCAAATTTTGATACTTTCGTATGAAGTGAACCGTTCTCCCGTAAGATCTGACTGCAGTGTTCGGAATAAGTGGTAATCCGAAGGAGCTATGTCTGGCGAATATGGCGGGTGGAGTAGCACTTCCCAGTCCTATCTAAATATCTTTTCACAACTTGGGCGGTATGGGGTTTGGCATTGTCATGGTGAAGAATTAATTTAATGTGCCTATTCGCTTCAAATGCATTAGTTGTCGGTAAACTTCTCCATTAATAGTTTGAGAGGGTTGGAACAACTCATAATATACAACACCTCTCTGATCTCACCAAATGCAGAGCATAACCTTGGCACTGTGAATATTTCTTTTTGGCTGGGATGGGCCGGGTTCACCTGGCTTCACATAAGCTTTTTGGCGTTTAGGATTTTCATAATATATCTATTTTTCATCTCCTGTGACTATTCGATGCAAAAATCCTTTTCTTTGCTGTCTTTGAAGTAGTATTTCACAAATTGTTTTTCGACGTTCCATGTCTCTTTCTTTTAATTCATATGGAACCCAGTTACCAATAACTTTTTGAACCATTCCCATTGCTTTTAAACGCTTTGCAACAGTTGATTGTTCAACATTTAATGCTGCAGCCAATTCTGATTGAGTTTGGCCAGAATCCTCTGCCAATAATGCCTCCAATTCAGCATCTTCTAATTTTTTTGGTGGTTTTCCATGTTCTCTGTCCTCAGTGCCAAAATCATTATTTTGAAATCGTCAAAACCATTCCTTGCAAGTTGTATTAGATGGAGCATGCTCACCGTAAATCTCCACAAGTAAACGATGAGTTTCCGCTACACTTTTCTTTGCAATATAATAGTGTAATAACACTTCCCACAAATGATGTTTACTTGGAACGAAAACCGCCATTGTCACGGAGGTAAAAACACTTGTTGCTTATATTTCAACCAAATGTCACGTAGTGCGTTTGACAGCTGACATAAAGTACTATCGAATACAAGTGTTGCCATTTATTAGTGCACGTAAGCAATACTAAAAACGACATCTGTTGGGAAAGGGCGGAGTCATATTCACACCTAATATTTTCATTTTCGAATGTAAAAAAAATATCTCTGTCAATGCGAACTTAATTTCACGGAGGGGATATTCTACAATGGAGTTCGGTGAAGGAAGTTGTGGAAAAAAACATTCACGGTCACGCTGACTTGGNGGGGGGGGGGGGGCGGAGGGAGCGAGCGGAGGGGGCCAAGCCCCCCGCGGATAGACGTGCGGAGCGCGCAGGGGGCTGAGCCCCATAGTACAAAATATCTTTTGATTTTTCATCCTAAAAACAATCGTTTCCAAGATAAATACAATTTTATCTTTGTAATGAATTGCTCAAAGATGGTAATTGCAAAAATTTTATACTAATCATTACGCAAAGATTTCTGACAAAATATAGGAAAAAAACTTGTTCTGTAGTTGCCAAAAAAAGGGTTTCTTGACAGCTACTCGTAATAATTAGTCGAACAAAGTGAAGAAAAATTGAAAAACACGTAATCAGTTGAATAATTTATCTTTTGATTGTAAAATTGAAAAAAAAAATTAAATTCCTGGACTCTCTTTCCATCGTGAGTAGCTTCCGCATTTAACAATGAAATAGTGAAACTTCTTCGTTGAAAAATCTCGGCTAGTTGGGTAAATATCTTCAGAATGTGGGATTCTACAGAATAAACCTCGCGGAACATTTTTTGCAGCCAAAAAAATTTCCAACGAAGACAATTGAGACAATTTGATAAATAAATACATGCACTGTTAAAAAAGTTTGTTAAATTACTACACTTTTGCTGCATCAATGTGTAGTAAAATTACAAATTCGTTAGTAGAATTGGTATTTACTACATTTTTGCATGAATATTGGGACCAAATATTCGGGATTTCACTGTAATATTCTCATGTGTGAATTCATTTGTATTAGAATTTTCCCACATAATTACTGGAAATATTGCGTCAAATTTCGCATCAAATGCGAGAAAAATTGGGACCCGAATTTTCGAGTAGCCGGTAGAATGAAATACTGTGCAAGCAGTAATTCTTCTGAGACTATTTCTCCGTGTACAAAATATTTTAATTATCTAGTTATGCAGGAAATAAATAACTTTGCAGAAAAATATCGAGAGCTTCTGGTCGCTCCAGAAATTCACAGAGAACAACTCCTGTCAAATTCGCAAAATAATCTTACAATCTGCTGAATAATTACCGAATTCTTTCGTATGCTAATAAAATGTAGAATAATAAGTGGCGAGCAGACTCGATGCTTTCTGCCGATCACAAGAATTCACTTTCAAGTTGACACATGACCTCTTCCGATAGACATGTTTGGAAATTATACTTTCAATGACACAAGACACTACACATATTCGCCCATAGTATTTGAAAGGGACCTTTGTTTGCGATTCTTTTTCCACTGATTTTAAACTTCAGTGGTCGGACAAAAATAGCCGGAAATAAATGGGGATAAACTGATACAATCATTCAATTTCAGACGTTGAATAACATTTTAACGTTTGAAAACAACGGAAACTTATTTATAAATGTTTGATTGAGAGAAGAAACGAACCTGCTACTGCGCGTCTCACGCACTGTTAAGTGCGTTCGCGAAACGTCTGTTACAGCTGCCAGTTGAATCTGTAGTGTATAGACCCACACTTTGCTTTCCCGCGCTAGACAATTCGCGCAAGCGTCGAACGATCCACGTCCCTTGAAAAAAAAATTTATTCCCAATTTCCCATTTTTTTTTTCAATTACCGAAAATTGATTAAAAAATTGAATGACAGCAATCTCATCAGTGTTATATATTACATCATCTAATAATGAAGTGATGAAAGCCTGATGCATCTATTTCTGTTTTGAATGTGTCTGTTGTTCCTGGCAGGGTAAAAAAGTCGATCCATCAAATCGCTAATATCAAAATGGTTCAGGAGTGTAAATATTAATTCAGTAAGATTGAAGTGCCCATACAATATGCATCGTTGATACAAACTGGGAGTACACAGTGTCTTCGTCATTCGATTTCTCAATGTCTGAGAATGATATCATGGATAAAAAAAAATGCGGAGAAGGGTGGGTGCAACATTTTGTGTTTGGTAATTTGAATTTATCTCGGTACCAAGAGATTCGATAGGCAAATACTGGGACAGTTTTGCTCATAACTGGAGAAATTTTCAACAGAAAAGCTAGGGTGATCCGACTCATTTCGTATTCAACAAAATGTGACAATCCGTCATGCTTCGAGACAAGAATAAGACCACCTGCTGATTATTTTGCAATTTTTTGTTGTATGAATGTTACTAAAAAATTTCTGCATTTTTTCCAAAACTGCGGGTTTTTTAAATTGCAAATTAATCTGTGTGAAATGTTCAATGAATTGCATAACTGTGGTAAATAGTAAAAAATACTGAGTCAATATTTTTAAGGAAACATTTTGTATTAAAATTCAATTTATATCGCAATTTGTTTATGTTCACATTATTATCAACAGATATAACATTGCCAAATACTGTTCATAATTTAAGTCTCTATATCCCAATGCAAACTATCAATAACACATTCGATTAAATTTACGTATTTTTGTATAAACATTTTCTGTAATTACTCTCTTTTCCCTAATGTGGCAGAATTTCACTAATATTTCTCCTTCATCAGTTATTGGACGATATTATCGCTGAAAAAAATTCAAAAATGAACAGGAATTACGAATAAATTTTATCATTTGAATGAGTGCAGAGATCATAAGTATAGGATGTCAATTAATTTTTTTTCTTTAAATAAATTATATGCATTGACATTCACTAACCAAAAATCTAGGCCACAATATTTTAGTCGATTTTCATAAATTCCATTCCTGCCGTTAATTTTATTTAATTTCTATTCTTTTTCTTCTCACCATCAATACCGTAGAACAGATATCATTGTCACGAATCCCTGCGTGATTTTTTCATAACAAAATGACTGGAATTACAGATCAAATACATTGTACTATTCGATAAAATAAAAAATATAAGAGAAAAAATTTTCTGAATTATAAATTCTTGTTAATTGGGTTAATTAATGTAATGGTGTCATTTAAGTAATCTCTAAATAATTAATTAAGTAATCCATAGGATAAAATTTGTAGTGTAGGGGTAAAACGGTTCAAGTCGCCATAATATTTAGATAGATTTGCTTTTAATTGGGAAGTCCAACGAGAATTCTTGCAAAATAATCCATGTAGTGATCGTTCATTTTCTACAGAGAAATTTATCCTACGGTTTATATAAATTGCCTCTAGTCGAATGTTTAAGATACAAAAAAGTCGAATTACCCATAGGATCATCCGATGAGAATGCCTATGAGAGATATCGACCTATCTTTGACAAAAAGGTCAAGAGATTTTTTTTCGTAGAGAAGGAAATGAAAAAAAAAATTTTCCCATATTTTCGAAAGAATGTATCACGACAATTTTCGATCCAACTTGCCTCGTTTTACCACTTCACTACTGAAATGCTCAGTGCACAATGATTTCTCATAATTTTTCATGACTCTTCTAGAACATTATCTTTCCCACAGTTTAAGTTGATTGACAACCACAATTTATCATACACTATTATACAGGGTGAGTTCATGATTCAAAGAAAGTTATCAATAAACGAGCAGGGTACTGAGCTTATCCGACAGAAGTCACTTTACCATTACTTTATGCGTTAATGGCCTTCTTGTTTTTATTCCTACCAATTGCATTGTTTGGAAGCTTCCGAATGGATGCGCAACAATACTTTTTTAAAGTAAAAAATGGCAATTTCCAATCAAAATATGATAGTAATTCATCAAAGATTTATACCTCGGAGAATAGACCATATCCCCTGTCTCTGTCACAGCTATGACATATTTTATCAAATGTTGACATAATACAAAGTAGACAAGAACACAATTTCATGTTATATAACTTTTTAAGTGATCCAGATGCAAAAATCATTAGTTAAATGAGAATGTATATTTTTTTAGTACAGGATGTATTGAATCGATCGACACAAAAATTTATGCACAAGTGTCACTCTATAATGCTAACTATTAGCCACAATTTCAGATGTTCACTCCAACTTTTACACGTATTATGGAACTTCACAGTCACTCTCAGATAAAAAGATTAGAAAAACGCAAATATCGCGAAAACTTTGAATGAACGAGTAATCATATTTTGATTCATCTTGATTGGAGACAGTAAGACGAGTATTTTGAAAAAAAAAGAAATGAAATCGGACTAGTAGGGATAACAGGTCAATTTCTGGACAATTTCAACTTGCATTGAATATTTCATAAATAAAATGACAATTGTACTTATTATTTCAGCTTTTAATAATATTACTCGTGTATAATTATGTGATCAATCATTTTTTCTGTTGATCGATATTCAATAAATAAAAAAAAATATGGCCTAGTCGTTCAGAAATTAGGGGTTTCGGCTGCATTCAACTATTTCTTAATTTAATTATTCTTTGTTTTGGTATTTTCACTTCAAATAATTTTTTTCCGCTAATTAAAACATTCTTGAAGGTATGGAAGCCTTCATATCCCTATTTAGGTGATTCTTCTATTTCAGAACCTACCACCAAACTTGAATTTCCCTTAACCGTCCAGCAATTGGCCTGTGCACCCTAGTTTGAGAGATATTGAGCAAAACAGTTTTTCACAAAAAGTTGAATATCTTCCAAACTATTTACCTGTTTCCGCCCATCTGTAATCGCATTTTGTAATACCATAAGAGCTACAATCTCACCAAATTTCAACTTTGTATCTCCATTTTTTCGAGAAAAATGCCAATCATTATCAAGCTGCCCCTTGTTACGTAGAGATATTGTGACATGATTTAATAGATTTTATTATAAGGAATCATTTGATGTGAAAAAAATCAATTCAGTCGTGTAGTTTTCGGCATACTGAGGAGAAAAGATTTTTGAGAAATTGCTGTATCTCAACAGGGACAAAAAAATTTAAGGATGTTCTACACCCTTTCTGTCAAAATTCACGTTTTTTCAATTTTTCTGGCAAACTTATGATGGAATTGACGTGAAAAAATATAACGTTTTTGCGTTTTGTCATTATTTAATGACTGACGAAATTTTAAGGTGGTGCGAACATTTTCCTGTGTTTTCTCTAAACTTTTAAAAAGAATCACAAAACTGTAGAAAAAACGCATAAAAATTATCGCACCACTACGCAACTTCGTGAGCCATTAAAGAATGACAAACCACAAAATCGTTATATTTGTTCACGTCACTCCCATCGATAATTTGCCAGAAAAATGAAAACAACGTCAATTGTGGCTAAAAGGGTGTCGAACATCCTTAATAGAAAATTCTAACGAATTCGCTAGACAATTCTATTGCATTTCTATTAAACTTTCTAATTAGTTTTTGGCCGATTCTATTGAAATGTTCAACAGAATATATTCTATAGAAGTCAATAGAATTACTCTATTGAGATATTTTCTGTAGAATTTCCTCCGCTCAAATGTTCAAAGTTTTTTTTCATTTTATTTTTCTTTTCTTTTCATTAAGAAATTTCAACAAAAATTTTTTTAAAATTTATATAGAAAATAATTCCTCCCCATTGGGTTTATTCCCCAATATTATTCAAAAACGCTCTTTGAAAATGTTCAGCATTTTTTCGACGTTTCTTTGATTGTACAATCGTAATTTTTGGAGACTCCAGGGCTATGTAAAACTAAATAGCAATTAGAGATCATTTCAGATTATCAAAATAAAAAAAAAACTGTGAAGATTACGTTCGAAAGATAATCCACCCTGGCCTTAAATTTTTTCCTGCGTGAAAAACTACTTGACCGATTGAGTTGAAATTTCGTCCAGAAGTGCTCCCAAATAATACCAATTACGGCACAAATTTTCAGTTTTTTAGCTTTAACCTTACTTTTTTTTGTGAAGAGTTATAAAACATTTCCGAAAAATTCGCACATACATACACACATTCTCTAAAAACGAAAAAAAATAAAAAAACATAAAAAAATTCTCTAAAAACATCATATCTTCACATTTCATTGCATTCCAGGCAAAAGTAGAAGATAGTTAAAATCAATATTATAAAGCTTCCATTCGGAAGCAACAGAAATAAAATTAGATCAATAATTATATAATTCATAAATTATATAATTCATATTGCTTTCTTTCTTTATTCCTTGCATCGATCATGCAAAAAATGTTGAATAATACTTTTCATAACTTGGAAATTTATCAAGGGATGTATTCTACGATTGCACATGTAAACTCCATTGTTCTACAGTTGTTCATTAATTGTTAGGAACAACTAATGAACTTAATGTACTATTTTTTCCATCGTTTTCATCATTTCGTTGATATCCTCTTCACGACTTAGCTAAGAATAAAAAAACTGAGTGTTTGAAAGGCACTTTTAAACAATAAAATGCCAACAATATTCTATCTTCATTTTCACACTCAATAGGTTTGTTTGATGAGCAAAGAATTCAATCTTACTGTATAATTAACCGTTTTTAATGTTTGTTATCAGAAATTACATTTTAGGTGAATTGTGGCAGAATCATTGGGCGTACGAACCAGTTTCTGAATGTAAGAAGAAACTGCAAGTTTTTTAAATTTGAAAATTCTTTTTAAAATGTACATTAAATTTTTTCGACTCATTTAGTTAATTGTTAAATCATATCAGCCAGAATTAATCGGAGATGGAAACATCAGTAGACCTTTTTCAGCAGAGAATTCCATGAGCTACAAAAATGGTTGAAACCCATTTTTCTTCCAATGCAGTAGTTTCATTAGAGAGAATGCCAACAGCCTTTTCTTGTAAAAAATTCTTCTAGATTTACTCATTTACTTTATATAACAAATCCAAGCAATTGGAATATTTTACCATTTCATTCTGAAAATAAATAAATAATAATAATAATAATAATGTTCAAACAATCATTTGCAACAATTCACACAAAATATTTTCTGAATGAGAGAGGAAATCATAGTACAATTCAACCGATACTTTCATCCGCGTATGTATCAATCTTCGATAAATCGACAAATTATTGATTTCATATAAAAATTCGCTCTACAAGAGCCCTCTTACACTTGGACCCTGTGATAAACACTTCCGATTTGTCCCTTTTACTCTGAAACAACAATGCACTGATTGAACTCACCGAATTATTGAAAAATCTCCATTGTGTACAACTGTAGTATAAAAGTTTTCGCGTCACATAAAAATTTTAGTTTTCGCTAAATCCTCGAATTATCTTAATAGTTATCTATAAGTATTTTCTTGTATTTATTTCTCTCAATTTCTTTACACGGGACGTCGTATGCACGGCCAACTGTTGATGATGCGGCACAGGCCCCACCTGGTCTAGGTGATACTCGGTCAGAGACATTTTCCAGGGTTCTGACTGCACCATTGCGGCCACATTGCCTCTGTTTTCAATCCGCGAGTTTGGAGAACGTCCATGTGGGCTGATAGACGAGTATAGACGCTCTCTTCTGTAATGTATCCTGCTGTTGGTAAATCACTCCTAGAAAAACCATAAAGATTCATTAACGACTGTTTTACACAATTATAAAATATCAAATCATTTCGATGAAAAACGATTTCATGAGGAAAAGATAGTAAATATTTTTTCCTAAAAATTCTTCCACTATGAAAAAACTTGTGCGATATTTTTGCATAAAATTGTAGGTTTTCAGAAGAAAACTCAATTGACGTCAAATTTCATGTCAAATTTCATTTAGCAAATTTTACCACTTGGTAGCTCCAAAATAGTATGCGTCATTGCTATAAATTTCACTATAGAACTTTTATCAATCGATTCGAACTTTCATAAACCTTGAAAATTTCAGTTCGATAAAATTAGAAACTTTCTGGTATCAATGGAAAAAATATTCATATCGAATTCTCAAGTACACTGGTGAACATAGGTAATCGCAATGAATTACGAAGAATGAGCTGAATGAGCGGATTATCGCCATACGTCGCCATACTTGTGACATCACAGCATATTGTTGGATAGAATTTTAGAGTAGGTAGGAGGACATTACATGAAAAATTCATACTTCTCATATGATAATGATTTCGTTCGTTACGTGTTTAATATTTTGAAAAATTGTTGTTTCCAATTATTGTTTCTTCGTTCTCAGTATTGTTTCTCTCGTAATTTCTTCTCTAGGAGAGAAAAAATGTCAAGTAGTAAAAAAAAAAATTCAAGAAAATTCGATGAATTATTTCAAAAGGTATGTTCCTTGATCGAATTATTTAAATACTATTTTATTTGCGATGTTCAATAACTCCAAAATAGTGATTAGTCATAAATATTTGAAATAGTATTTCAATTAATATTTTGTTCAGTTCTGCCATGCACATATTGTCCTTGAGTTTATCAACTTTTTTGTTACTCTCCCTGTGGTTCTCATTTGTTCATAGGGGGTGGGTGCATCTTCTCAGGACATCAATGAACCGCTTCTATGCTATTCTAGTTTATTATTCCTGGTGCTTACCATAATCTCTCAGCAAAGGCAGACGCTCTGGGCCACAGTCGGGGCCCCAGACTGGCCTGTCCAATTTGTTCACTCCACAACGCCACCTCGCCCCCCATCACCAGATTGGCAGCCTGATAATCCCTCCACGGCCTGTGATTATAAACAGTCTGCCACGTCCTATACTCCCCACAAGCAGCCTCCCCAGTCTCTCTCCACTTCCCAAATCCGCAGTCCAAGTACCAGGCGTCAACATGCGACAGGATCACTCTGAACCCATCGTCAAGGAGATCCCCAGTCTCAGGCCAATTACTACCTCCCCAAGACTGGATAACATGAACCTTAGGATCGAAATGAGTGGTGATCCATGGTCGTTTGGTCAATGGTGAGCTCCAGAGTATTACAGCCTTCGGTATCTCGTCCTTGTTCGCCCTGACAATCCTCTTGAGCATTTTTCCTTCGAAATCCGCCCATATGGCGTGCAAATCCGTGAAGTTCGATGCTTGCATGGCTTGAGTGATGTTTCCATACTGTGCCCAACATTCTAAGTTCACCTCGTCTCCCCCAATATGAATAATGTCCCTTACTTCAGTAATGTCGAGTATTTCTTTGTACAAGCTTTCGAGAATCTTGTAAGAGTGCTCGTTAATAGGGTTTAGCTGTCCACAATTTGGTTCTCCGCAGTATGACGACCAGGGTTCTTGGTCAACGCATAAAGCTAGCTCTCCAAAGCCGTATTCAGGACCCCACTGCCAGCCAGCGCCAGCATGGGCAGGGGAATCTATCTCTATTATGATTCTGATGCCTCTGATTTTAGAATAATCTACTAAGTCTTTCATGTCTTCGGGTGTGTAAATCTCATCTCCGCTGAAGGCACCCCATCTCGCCATCTGGGGGAAGATTGAGGACTCGAAGGGAAAGGATTGCGAGTCCGAAATGTGCCAGTGGAAGGTGTTCAGTTTGGACGCTGCCATCCCGTCGATCACACGTTTTAGTTGCTCTATGGGGAAAAACTGACGACCAGTGTCGATTAGGAGTCCGCGGTAGTGGAAGGATGGCTTGTCTTCTATGGAGGCTTTGGCGAGGACTCGTAGAGTCCCCTGGCGACCTGCCGAGTCGTCCCACCAGAATAGTTGGGAAAGGGTTTCCAGGCCGTGGCGAATACCGTAGTAGCTCTTTGCGGATATCTTGGCTTCGAGGAGACGATCCTTCTGGGAAAGGTCCAGGTGATAGGACTCGTCGGTGGAGAGAGTTAACTTGGTGCCGGAAGCGCCCGCCGCGTCCAGGTAGATGACGAAGCTGTCGATGCTCCATCTCTCCCGGGCGTTCGGCATCTTTATTAAACTTCTGATGTTTCCTAGAAATAACATGAATGAACGGAAGAAAATTATTAGAGAAAGAATTGGCAGATCACACGGAGAAAATTATTTGGTGAATTTCACCAACTAGTTGGGGAAATTTAACAACTATGTAGGATTCATGACAGTAGTTTTAATAAAAGATATGATACGATTTATTCATAGAAAAGAAAGTTAAATGTTCAAGTACATAAATATACAAGTCTTAACCCGACACTACGAACTCCGGCTAACAACTAACTCCCCTAATCATTTGCTCGTCCTTAAATGCTAAAAGTGTCCTGTTATCCTCGTCTTTCTCACTCACGTTCACACTCATTCCTTCTCATTCTATTTTCCACTCAATCTTTCTCACTCTACTATTCACTCATTCTATTCACTCACGAAATTATACTCAGGCCCAAACCTCACTTTATTATTTTATAATCTGACCCCCGGTCTCTCAATTCCGCCGGGTACTTCCCCGATGGACAGACACTCCGGCGTATTTCCCCGTTGACCCGTCGCGGCTATAGAACTCGGGCCCGCACTGTCATTTTATGGCTTAATCCTCGGCTTTCCCAAAATATTCCATCAGGCCTTTTCCCACCTCCCCTCATGGCGTTTTCCCTTCACTATGTTTTTCCCCACTAACACTCATTCACTTAAAATATGTATCCCACAACTATTTAATTAAAATTCAGAAAAAAATTTTTTAATTTCATTCGACAACCATTTGGTAAATTTTCAATAAGCGTTCATCGATTTATTTGATGGATCAAATTTATCGAGGAATTGTAGATTATTGGGAAAATATCTTCTAGGGGAGACATTGAGCGATTGTCACGATATAAATGATTGCGGGATTGTTTACAAATGTATATATGCCCTCACCATCCAGTTTGGTAGTCAAAATTGATTGAGTGAAATTGAAAAATCTATTCTGAATTTGAATTAATTAGTTGTTGAAATTTACCAACTAGTTGTTGAAAAAATGAATTGCCAACTAGTTGGTGATTTTCAACAACTGGTTCGTGAAATTCATCAAATAATTTTCTCCGTGCACGTTTTTAACACTCCGTTGGTCGCGCCTTAAGCGCCACGCCGCACCAGCATAGATGGGCATAATGATAAATTTGAAAGATCTAGCAAACATCTGAAAAAAATCAAGAGTGATTTAGATCGTACACTTGAAGAAGTTCCGTGAGATTTTTTATGTTCAGTGTTACCCTTAATTATATATTCAGGCTCGAAATGGTCACGTTTTTCTAAAAATTTGCTTGGTACACGATACACAGCCTGGAGTTTTGGAATAGAAATACGAAATCTAACTACTTATGATATTTTCGGAGGAGATTTTTATTTATAGGGCTTCTAGACACTTTAAAATGAGATGTCAAATCTTTTCAAAAATTTTGGAGGCTTTACTGCAATGTAATTTAAAACATCGGAAAAGTGCGGCGCGACGCTAATAGCGCGGCCAACGGAGTGTTAAGGAAGAAGAAGCTAAAGGAACCGAGCTAGATATGGTGTTACACCCCCATGAATTGGCGAAACACGGTCAAAATCAGGGGGTTTCGAGTGGCGATTAATAATGTGTTAATAATGTGCTTTTTATGTACCAAAAAAAAAATTTTTGTACTCAATTAGGTCTTTTGAAAATTGCATCTGACAGTTTGGGCTCAAAATTATGATTGTTTGACTCAAGTTGCGTTATCTACTAATTATGTGTTATTTATGTACCAATGGAAGAATTTCCCAGATATCATTAATTTTGTAGAAATGAGACAATAAATATTGGAAGCACAATGGGGGCGGTTTAATTGGTGGACGTTAATCTACCAATTATGTGCTCTTCATGTACCGCAAAAAAAAGTGTCGGTTCAGTAAATTTCACGTGAAATACTTGCGAATTTAAAAAACTATAATTTGAGCAGTATAATAAGTGGAGGTACATGTGTAATTTATGTTTTTTCTTGTACTACCAAAAAATCTATTGTTCTGAGAATTAATTGAAAAGGAGATGACAAGAGTTCTGACGGCTCATTGCTGCAAAACCATTGTATGAGAAAAATTGAGCTAATCATCGCGTCGTCATTCTATATGATTCCCAAATCAACTCCAATCATAATTATGGGCCCACCACAATAACAATCGACAACCCATCCCGGAGGATTTAAATAAGGAAACAAGCATAAAAAAATTATGTGTTATCTGATTCGAGTCACGGAGTAATTATGTACTCTTCAGGCCCAGAGCTATGGACTGGTTGTCCATGTGAATCATCATGACTCCGAGAGGTTGAGCGGAAAATGATTCTTCGATTTATGTGCTCCTCAAATCAGGTCGAATCGTAATTATGTACTCATCGTAAGCACGCTCTTCAGTGAGAGGATCGACTAGACCTGATTGAGGTGTACCTAATGATGCGTCATTTTTTCGCTTAGATGATTTACTGATAATGTGTCACAAATATAACTACGTGAATTGATTAGGTACCCACATTACAGATCATTCCTGACACCGACGTACCTGAATTAGGTTTGATGGAAGAGATAGAGTTTTGAATAGCACCAGAGAATTATGTGTTATCCGATTAGAGTCACGGAGTAATTATGTACTCTTCAGGCACTGAGCCATGGACTGGTTGTCCATGTGAATCATCATGACTTGGAGAGTTATGGCAGAAAATGACCCTTCGATTTATGTGCTCCCCAAATTAGGTCGAATCATAATTATGTACTCATCATAAGAATACCCCCCAGTAAGAGGATTGACTAGACCTGATTGAGGTGTACCACATACAGTCACACATACAGGGGAGAGACAAGTCTCTCTGAGTCAAATGTTGACTAGGTCACAGTCAACACAATCTATCACTTCGTGGTTTATGGACTGGATCGAGAAAGAAAATTTGCCACCTCCTAAAAAATTCATTTCTGACTGCGCTTTAACACTACGTGCAAGCGCTGTCAGAGCCTTCACTAAATATCGTACTGTAGATGATTATGCAAACTTATTTTTAAACTCAGATGAATTACCCTCCTGCTACGTGAGAATCGACGTCGCTGATTGGATGAAGGTTTATACCACTCTGATAGGAAAATTAAAATTCAAAGCAGAGGTTGCAGCGTACTATAAAGCAGGAATGGGAAAACTTTTCATGTGTCTCACTTTGAAAGAAGCAGAAATCATTCTGCATGCTTTGTTTACTGTAGCACTCAGTACACATGGAGACCCCACGGAAACTGGGGACGATTCGGCGTGTGCCGTCCAGAGAAATATTTTGGATTTAATTTCCACAGAGGACATATTTCTTGAAGAAAAGATTGGAGCAGGAAGGAAACTTGAAGAAAGACGGGCGAAAGACAATCTGAAATTCGTAAGAGGGAAGATGACAAGTGGTAACAACAACACTGAAGGAAGTTATAAGCTGTACTCATTACGTCACAACCGATGGACATATCAAGAGCGCAACAGAGTGGAATTTAATGTGAAAACGAAGATTACTCCTACTTTCGTTATTTATATGAAATAAATACATAATTTCTTGACAAAATGTTTATAGTCGTGAAGTCGATAACGGGCCTCCCGGAAATATTTTCTCCCGGAAATGTGTTTCGTAAATTTTATACTGTAATTCCATCATCATATTAAATCAATCAGAAATATAAATAATTCACATATCTTATGACGTTAAAAACATTCAACACTCACCTAATCGATTATCGTACCTAATCGATTATCGTAGTTTTATTTGTGAAACATAATCAGTAAATCATCAAAGCGAAAAAATGACGCATCATTAGGTACACCTCAATCAGCTCTAGTCGATCCTCTCACTGAAGAGTGTGCTTATGATGAGTACATAATTATGATTCGACCTGACTTGAGGAGCACATAAATCGAAGAGTCATTTTCCGCCGAAACTCTCTGAGTCATGATGATTCACACGGACAACCAGTCCATGGCTCAGTGCCTGAAGAGTACATAATTACTCCGTGACTCGAATCGGATAACACATAATTCTATGATGCTATTCAAATCCATCTCTCTTCTATCGAACCTAATTCAGGCGCGTCGGTCTCTGCAATGATTTGTAATGTGGGTACCTGATTGATTCAGGTAGTTTCATTTGTGACCCATGCTGAGTAAACAATCAAAGCGAAAAAATTTCGCATCATAAGGTACGCCGCAATGAGGTCTAGTCGATCCTCTCACTGAAGAATGTGCTTACGATGAGTACATCATTACGATTCGACCTGATTTGAGGAGCACATAAATCAAAGAGTCATTTTCCGCTCAACCTCTCGGAGTCATGATGATTCACATGGACAATCAGTCCATGGCTCTGGGCCTGAAGAGTACATAATTACTCCGTGACTCGAATCAGATAACACAATTTTTTTATGCTTGTTTCCTTATTTAAATCCTCCCCTCCGCCCCCCTCCCTCACTGTGACGCCAATTCAAGGTCATGGACCCTTCCGGGATGGGTCGTCGATTGTTATTGTGGTGGGCCCATAATTATGATTGGAGTTGATTTGGGAATCATATAGAATGATGACGCAATGATTAGCCCAATTTTTTTCATCCAATGGTTTTGCAGCAATGAACCGTCAGAAATCTCGTTATCGCCTTTTCAATTAATTCTCTCAGAGCAATAGATTTTTTTTTGGTAGTACAAAAAAACACATAATTTACACATGTACCTCCACCCATTAAACTGCTCAAATTATAGTTATGTGCTTTGGGCCGAGACACGGCATCCTTATGAGAGAAGCTGTTGAAGATTCGGCCTTAGGTTCTCCCTTTCAGCCCCTTTTACCCACCTTCATTGTTTGTGGAGCATGCGCGGGGCGCCTGCTGATCAACAAGGGCGGCTAACTTTATAGCGTTGAGATTTTTCGGTCATCTTAGACGCCCAAAAAATCACTTCCCGTTTTAATTGTTTTTGTTGTTATTCCTACATATTTTCTGATCCTCAAAATTCAGAAAAATTGTTGTGAAATTTCCAATTT